ATTCAGTCATAAAATATTTAATAAAATGCTTCGCTGGGCGCAGCTTGATACGACCACAGAGGTCGAACCCTGAACAGTTGGGGCAAGTATGGACACAACATTCAAGCTTGATACAGCTCTGAATTTGGATTGTGATTAAATATTTGACACAGCATAGGTTTCTGACACAGAAAGAATGTGGTCTAAGAACTTCAATTTTTTTAATTTACCTATTATGGTCCAATGTCCAAAATCAAAATACATGGTTAGATTCAGCATATCAAAGAACTCCAATAATTCAATTTTTGATGAAATCAAACAAAGTTTAATTTTGGACCCTTTTGACCACTATATGAACCAATTTGATAGCGGGGTCCACAAATAAAAAATCTAGATACATGGTTAGATTCAGCATACCAAAAAACCCCATATATTCAATTTTTGTTGAAATCAAACAAAGTTTAATTTTGGACCCCAATTTGGACCAACTTGAAAACTGGGCCGAAAATCTAAAATCTAAATACATGTTTAGATTCAGCATATCAAAGAACCCCATATATTCAATTTTTGTTGAAATCAAACAAAGTTTAATTTTGGACCCCAATTTGGACCAACTTGAAAACTGGGCCAAAAATCTAAAATCTAAATACATGTTTAGATTCAGCATATCAAAGAACCCCATATATTCAATTTTTGTTGAAATCAAATAAAGTTTAATTTTGGACCCCAACTTTGACCAACTTGAAAACTGGTCCCATAATCAAAAATATAAACACATGTTTAGATTCAGCATATCAAAGTACCCCAAGAATTCAATTTTTGTTAAAATCAAACTAAGTTTAATTTTTGACCCTTTGGACCTTAATGTAGACAAATTTAAAAAACGGGACCCAAAATTAAAAATCTAAAAACACGGTTAGATTTGGCATATTAAAGAACCCCAATAATTCAATTTTTGATTAAATCAAACAAAGTTTAATTTTGGACCCTTTTGACCTCAATATGAACCAATTTGATAGCGGGCCCACAAATAAAAAATCTAAATACATGGTAAGATTCAGCATATCAAAGAACCCCATATATTCAATTTTTGTTGAAATCAAACAAAGTTTAATTTTGGACCCCGATTTGGACCAACTTGAAAACTGGGCCAAAAACTAAAATCTAAATACATGTTTAGATTCAGCATATCAAAGAACCCCATATATTCAATTTTTGTTGAAATCAAACAAAGTTTAATTTTGGACCCCAACTTGGACCAACTTGAAAACTGGGCCCATAATCAAAAATCTAAACACATGTTTAGATTCAGCATATCAAATAACCCCAAAAATTCAATTTTTGTTAAAATCAAACTAAGTTTATTTTTGGACCCTTTGGACCTTAATGTAGACAAATTTAAAAAACGTGACCCAAAATTAAAAATCTAAATACACGGTTAGATTTGGCATATCAAAGAACCCCAATAATTAAATTTTTGATGAAATCAAACAAAGTTTAATTTTGGACCCTTTTGACCTCAATATGAACCAATTTGATAGCGGGTCCACAAATAAAAAATCTAAATACATGGTAAGATTCAGCGTATCAAAGAACCCCATATATTCAATTTTTGTTTAAATCAAACAAAGTTTAATTTTGGACCCCAATTTGGACCAACTTGAAAACTGGGCCAAAAATCTAAAATCTAAATACATGTTTAGATTCAGCATATCAAAGAACCCCATATATTCAATTTTTGTTGAAATCAAACAAAGTTTAATTTTGGACCCCAACTTGGACCAAGTTGAAAACTGGGCCCATAATCAAAAATCTAAACACATGTTTAGATTCAGCATATCAAACAACCCCAAGAATTCAATTTTTGTTAAAATCAAACTAAGTTTAATTTTGGACCCTTTGGACCTTAATGTAGACAAATTTAAAAAACGGGACCCAAAATTAAAAATCTAAATACACGGTTAGATTTGGCATATCAAAGAACTCCAATAATTAAATTTTTGATGAAATCAAACAAAGTTTAATTTTGGACCCTTTTGACCACTATATGAACCAATTTGATAGCGGGGTCCACAAATAAAAAATCTAAATACATGGTTAGATTCAGCATACCAAAGAACCCCATATATTCAATTTTTGTTGAAATCAAACAAAGTTTAATTTTGGACCCCAATTTGGACCAACTTGAAAACTGGGCCAAAAATCTAAAATCTAAATACATGTTTAGATTCAGCATATCAAAGAACCCCATATATTCAATTTTTGTTGAAATCAAACAAAGTTTAATTTGGACCCCAACTTGGACCAACTTGAAAACTGGGCCCATAATCAAAAATCTAAACACATGTTTAGATTCAGCATATCAAAGAACCCAAAGAATTCAATTTTTGTTAAAATCAAACTAAGTTTAATTTTGGACCCTTTGGACCTTAATGTAGACCAATTTAAAAAACGGGACCCAAAATTAAAAATCTAAATACACGGTTAGATTTGGCATATCAAAGAACCCCAATAATTCAATTTTTGATGAAATCAAACAAAGTTTAATTTTGGACCCTTTTGACCTCAATATGAACCAATTTGATAGCGGGGTCCACAAATAAAAAATCGAAATACATGGTTAGATTCAGCATATCAAAGAACCCCATATATTCAATTTTTGTTGAAATCAAACAAAGTTTAATTTTGGACCAACTTGAAAACTGGGCCAGAAATCAAAAATCTAAAAACATGTTTAGATTCAGCATATCAAAGAACCCCATGTTTTCAATTTTTGTTAAAATCAAACAAAGTTTAATTTTGGACCCTTTGGACCTTAATGTAGACCAATTTGAAAACTGGACCCGAAATTAAAAATCTAAATACACGGTTAGATTCGGCATAACAAATAAATAAATGTGGTCAAAGATTTTACAAATCTAATGCGCCATACTGGTCTTCCTTTATAAATATGCATTTCTTTAAACATAATTTAAAAGCAGTGTAAGGGAAGTAACCAAAACGTTGTATTTGGATTACCTCCCTTACACTGTTTTAAATTATCTTAATTGTTCATTAACCATTACTTTATACATAATTTAAAAGCAGTGTAAGGGAGATAATTTCAATGATGTATTTGATTTATCTCCCTTACACTGCTTTAAATTATGTTTTGTACTAAAGTATTTGTCCATTAATGAGGACAACCTTGTTTTTCCCCCTTTTTTGCCCCTAATTCTTAAACGGTTTGAGCAATAACCCCCCAAAGCAAATCCTAACCATCCCTTTGTGGTATGGAAACTTGTAGTATAATTTCAGAGAGATCCATACACCGTTCCACAGTTATTGTCTGGAAACTAGAAAATGCTTATTTTTGGCCCCTAATTCCTTAACTGTTGGTACCATAACCCCCAAAATCAATCCCCACCTTCCTTTTGTGGTATTGAACCTTATGGTAAAATTTCATAGAGATCCATTCACTTAAACTAAAGTTAGAGTGCGAAAACTAATGCGTCTTCGGACGACGACGCCGGACGACGACGACAACGACGCCAACGTCATACCAATATACGACCACAAAAATTTTTTTGCGGTCGTATAAAAATTGACTTAATTTCTAGTGAGTCATCAAGTGATATAAATTTCCAATCTTAAAATTTGATTGTAAAAAAAAAATAAAACCTGTGTCACCTCTGTGCTTGCTGCTATAATTGTAAAAGGGTAATTTTTACTTCCAAAAAACTGACTAAAGTCCATTTATTCGTAAAATATTTTCAACTTCATTTCAACTAAAGTATGTATAGATAAGCAAAAGATTTTCAGCTGTGGTGTTGATCATATTAGACAACTTTGTGTGACAATAAACTAGAGGCTCTAAAGAGCCTGTGTCGCTCACCATGGTCTATGTGCATATTAAACAAAGGACACAGATGGATTCATGACAAAATTGTGTTTTGGTGATGGTGATGTGTTTGTAGATCTTACTTTACTGAACATTCTTGCTCCTTACTATTATCTCTATCTATAATGAACTATGCGAATTGACCCCCCCCCCCCCAAAAAAAATTTACCCCGTTTTTTTGCGTTTGTGCAACACACTATGCTGTTGAATATTAACCCCCCAAAAAAAATATTTGAAGAATTTTTCTTTTAATTTCTGAAATCTGAAATGAGAAAAATTGTCCCACTCCAATTTTTTTCACCTCCCCCCTTTCCCTTATTCCATAAAATAATTATTTCCCTCAAGTTATGGTCAGTATCTCAGACAACCATCATTTCTCAATACATAATTTACAAGCAGTGTAAGGGAGGTAATCAAACATTGTTTATTTAAATTGATTAGGATTTTGATTTGGATTACCTCCCTTACACTGCTTTTAAATTGTCTCAATTGTCCTTTAACCAGAAAAACCCTTGTTTTTCCCCTTTTTTTGCCCCTAATTCCTAAATGGTTTGAGCCATAACCCCCCAAAGTCATCCCTTTGTAGTATGGAAACTTGTGGTATAATTTCAGAGAGATTCATACACTTTAACACAAGTTATTGTCTGGAAACTACAAAAATGCTTATTTGGGCCCCTTTTTTGGTCCCTAATTCCACAGTTGGGACCATAACCCCCAAAATCAATCCCAACCTTCCTTTAGTGGTTATAAACCTTGTGTTAAAATTTCATTGATTTCTATTTACTTATACGAAAGTTATTATCCGGAAACCATCTGTCTTCGGACGACGCTGACGACAATGACGACAACGTGATACCAATATATGACCAAAATATTTTTAATTTTTGCGGTCGTATTAAAAACCAGTAATGAAAGATTTATGGGAAATAGCTACAAACAGGCCATAAGACAGTTTCGGTTAAGCTGCCTATTTATTCATCAATTATTTTTTTATTTGATTGATAAATTTAAACCAAGATAGAACTCTTTAAAGTGAAAGGGAAACTGTTTTTATTTATATATTTGCAAAAAATTTACTAGTTATGTCCCCTTTGCTCTTTTATGTCTCCTGTTTCCAAGAGTTTATGTTATAACACTGTACCTTTTGTGGATTTGGATGACAGTTCAAAGGCAGATTTGCAATCATTTCTTGGTATGCAAACTCATCTCTTTCTGTTATCTGTATCACTCCATCTAGTACCAGCACATTTCCAAAACTTTTACTGTGAAAAGAATAAATGTGTAATCATTTTGTATTGCATTTCAAATGCAGTATTACTATAGAATATCTTTATATCACTATGCAATGTATCACAATTCATATTATATAATTGTCCATTTGTATTGTATATTTTTCTATTTCTATTCTAAACTTTGCCCGATAGTATTGTATATTTGTTCATTTGTATTATACTTTTTTCAAATATTTGTTCATTCAATTTGTATATTCTTTTTTGTATTCTATAATTGTTCATATATCATTATAACTTTTCCAACAAATATTCTTAGGACTCTAAAATGTGATGGTATTCTAATGTATGATGGTTTTTGCTAAAGTGTTATGGTGTTACATGCTAAAATTTGATTGTCATACTACTGTAACTGATAAGCTAAAGTCTGATGGTCTAGCATGCTAAAGTGTGTTTGTTTTGCTTCAGCTTTAAATGTTGTCGTGTTTAACCTTATTGTCTGTAACAGCTGTCACATACATGACATAAGGGGAAAAGTACAAGTATGAACTTAATATTTTCTATGCAAATAGACAAATATACAAAAATAGCAATGATAATAAAATTGAGAATGGAAATGGGGAATGCGTCAAACGGGAAAGCAACCAGGCCAAAGAGCAGAAAACAGCCCAAGGCCACCAATGGGTCAACACAGTGAGAAAATCCTGCATCCAAAACAAAAGGCAAAATATTACCTGCAAATGACTAATACATGCTTACATATGCCAATACAGGCAACATATTGACATCTTAAAATAAACTGTTGACAGAGATATATCTCACCTTTTTGTAATTTTGATAATATAATGCAAATATTGAATCCAAATGGCAATATTTAAACATGCAAACTATTCAAATTCAATGAACCATGACTTATGGTGCAGAACCAAATAATCCAATGGAATTGAGAAATGCCAATGCTTATAAAACTGCATACCAAATACCATTGACTTACAAGTGGTTCTCTTTACAATAACCTAAACACAAACTTTAATTTGTAAACAATATGAAAGTTTAAAGTCAATGAACCATGCTGAGGGGGTGGGGCCATATAATCACCATGTAAAAAAGAGTTGCAAATGCTTATTCAACTGCATACCTGCCATACCAAATATCATTGACTTAACATTAGCGGTTCCTCTTAAACTTATATAATCACAAACTTAACATGTAAACTATGCAAAACATTCAAAGTCAATAGACCATTTATTATACTGGACGATCTGTTATTATTATCTTTAAATTAAATGTCACAAACAATGATGTCATGTACATAATGAATGTGCTTCGCTGAGCGCAGCTGAATATGACCGCAGAGGTTCAACCCTGAACAGTTCGGGCAAAAATGGACACAATATTCAAGCTTGATACAGGTCTGAATTTAGATTGTAATTAAATATTTCACACATTATAGGTTTCTGGCACAGAATAAATGTAGTCAAAGAACTTGAAATTGGTTATATGATTTGAATTTATATTCAATTGAAGATTTCTTGCTGTTGTTCAATACACTGTGATGTTGCGCAATACTTAGCAAATCTGTTTTCAGACTATATACAAAGAATTAGCAAAATAAATTGTGACCCCCAATTTTTTTGTTGGAAAATTGATAAAATATCTTAAATCTTGAGGGAAAAAACTTGATCGGCACTGATTTTCAAACTCTTCAAAGACATTGCTGATATAAACCTATGATATAAGTTTCATAAAATTCTGGCAAGAATTGTACACATGAGAGCGCTAATATTTTCCATATCATTAATATTTCCAAGGGGCATAACTCTTTTAAAAGTAATTGATCAGCACTGATTTTCGAACTCTTCAAAGACATTGCTGATATTAATCTTTGATATAAGTTTCATAAAAATCTGGCAAGAATTGTACACATGAGAGCGCTAACGATGCAATTTTCCATATAATTAATGTTTCCAAGGGCATAACTCTTTTAAAAATAATTGATCGGCACTGATTTTCAAACTCGTCCAAGACATTGCTGATTTAAACCTATGATATAACTTTCATAAAAATCTGGCAAGAACTGTACATGTGAGAGCGCAAACAAGACCGGATGGACAGACGGACAGACGGACTGACGGCTGGAATTTCTATGTCCCCCGCAACACTATGCATAGGGGACAATAACTCCTTTTATTCATAACACTATAAGAACAACTAAGTAACAATTGCTTAAAATTAATTCAGTCATAAAATATTTAAAAATTGACTTAATTTCTAGTGAGTCATCAAGTGATATAAATTTCCAATCTTAAAATTTGATTGTAAAAAAAACTTAAACCTGTGTCACCTCTGTGCTTGCTGCTATAATTGTAAAAGGGTAATTTTTACTTCCAAAAAACTGACTAAAGTCCATTTATTCGTAAAATATTTTCAACTTCATTTCAACTAAAGTATGTATAGATAAGCAAAAGATTTTCAGCTGTGGTGTTGATCATATTAGACAACTTTGTGTGACAATAAACTAGAGGCTCTAAAGAGCCTGTGTCGCTCACCATGGTCTATGTGCATATTAAACAAAGGACACAGATGGATTCATGACAAAATTGTGTTTTGGTGATGGTGATGTGTTTGTAGATCTTACTTTACTGAACATTCTTGCTCCTTACTATTATCTCTATCTATAATGAACTTGGCCCGGTAGTTACAGTGGAAAATACTTTGTAAAAATTTACAAAAATTTACAAAATTTATAAAAATTGTAAAAAATTGACTATAAAGGGCAATAACTCCTTAAGGGGTCAATTGACAATTTTGGTCATGTTGCCTTATTTGTAGATCTAACTTTGCTGTACATTATTGCTGTTTACAGTTTATCTCTATCTATAATAATATTCAAGATGATAACCAAAAGCTGCAAAATTTTCTTAAAATTACCAATTCAGGGGCAGCAACCCAACAACGTGTTGCCTGATTGGTCTGAAAATTTCAGGGCAGATAGATCTTGACCTAATGAACAATTTTATCCTCATCAGATTTGCTCTAAATGCTTTGGTTTCAGAGATATGAGCCAAAAACTGCAATTTACCCTATGTACTATTTTTTAGCCATGTAGGCCATCTTGGTTCGCGAGCGGGGTCATCGGACACATTTTTTAAACTAGATACCCTCATGATGATTGTGGACAAGTTTGGTTAAATTTGTCTTAGTAGTTTCAGAGGAGAAGATTTTTGTAAAAAATTACAAAAATTTACGAAAAATGGTTAAAAATTGACTATAAAGGGCAATAACTCCTTAAGGGGTCAACTGACCATTTTGGTCATGTTGACTTATTTGTAGATCTTACTTTGCTGAACATTATTGCTGTTTACAGTTTATCTCTATAATATTATTCAAGATAATAACCAAAAACGGCAAAATTTCCTTAAAATTACCAATTCAGGGGCAGTAATCCAACAATGGGTTGCCTGATTGGTCTGAAAATCCAGGGCAGATAGATCTTGACCTAATGAACAATTTTATCCTCATCAGATTTGCTCTAAATGCTTTGGTTTCAGAGATATGAGCCAAAAACTGCATTTTACCCTATGTACTATTTTTTAGCCATGTCGGCCATCTTGGTTCGCGGGCGGGGTCATCGGACACATTTTTGTCGAGCCTTCGACTTTTGTCGAAAAAGCGAGACATAGCGATCCCACATTCCGTCGGCGTCGGCGTCGGCGTCGTCGTTGTCGTCGGCGGCGTCCACAAATATTCACTCTGTGGTTAAAGTTTTTGAAATTTTAACAACTTTCTTAAACTATCCTGGATTTCTACCAAACTTGGACAGAAGCTTGTTTATGATCATAAGATAATATTCAAAAGTAAATTTTGTTAAAAAAAATTCCATTTTTTCCGTATTTTACTTATAAATGGACTTAGTTTTTCTGCCAGGAAACATTACATTCACTCTGTGGTTAAAGTTTTTGAAATTTTAATAACTTTCTTAAACTATCCTGGATTTCTACCAAACTTGGAAAGAAGCTTGTTTATGATCATAAGATAGTATCCAGGAGTAAATTTTGTAAAAAAAAAATCCATTTTTTCCGCATTTTACTTATAAATGGACTTAGTTTTTCTGCCAGTTAACATAACATTCACTCTGTGGTTAAAGTTTTTAAAATTTTAACAACTTTCTTAAACTATCCTGGATTTGTACCAAACTTGGACAGAAGCTTGTTTATGATTAAAAGATAGTATCTAGAAGGAAATTTTGTTCCATTTTTTCCGTATTTTACTTATAAATGGACTTAGTTTTTCTTCCAGTTAACATTACATACAGTCTGCAGTTTAAGTTTTTAAAACATTTATTAGATTCATAAACTATCCTGGATTTTTACCAAACTTGGACAGAAGCTACTTACAATCAAAAGATAGTATAGAGAGGAATATTTTAATTAATTTTTTTCCTCATTTTTTGTTGAGCCTGTGATTAACAGCAAAAAGTAGGCGAGACACTGGGTTCCGCGGAACCCTTACGAATTTTTTAAACTAGATACCCTAATGATGATTGTGGACAAGTTTGGTCAAATTTGTCTTAGTAGTTTCAGAGGAGAAGATTTTTGTAAAAAATTACAAAAATTTACGCAAAATGGTTAAAAATTGACTATAAAGGGCAATAACTCCTTAAGGGGTCAACTGACCATTTTGGTCAAGTTGACTTATTTGTAGATCTTACTTTGCTGAACATTATTGCTGTTTACAGTTTATCTCTATCTATAATAATATTCAAGATAATAACCCAAAACGGCAAAATTTCCTTAAAATTACCAATTCAGGGGCAACCCAACAACATGTTGCCTGATTGGTCTGAAAATTTCAGGGCAGATAGATCTTGACATAATGAACAATTTTATCCTCATCAGATTTGCTCTAAATGCTTTGGTTTCAGAGATATGAGCCAAAAACTGCATTTTACCCTATGTACTATTTTTTAGCCATGTCGGCCATCTTGGTTCGCGGGCGGGGTCATCGGACACATTTTTTAAACAAGATACCCT